TTACCACATCATATCATTCTCTAAGTGTGTGTTAGATTTACAGGGGTTAGTCTTATTTAGTCTGAGTGCAGGGATCACTTTTTATAAATCTGTTGTATATTCCAAAAGGTCTACCTATGGAATGCAACATTTAATTTGAATGCAGAAAGGGCACAATCAGCTGATTTTATAGCAGTGTTTAATATGAATTTGTGGAAGATTCACATCAGGGGATTTTGAGAGATTAAATCAATGGATTTCCCAACATAGAACAAACTGAAATGAATAATCCCAAGTCTCTCCTAATATAAACGAATTAATATTCACTCAATGAATAAATCGGTGTGCAATGCACTTTTCCTTTGGGATCTAAATTATCCAAACATTTATTTTCATTTTTCTCCTTGCTTTGATTTTAGAAATACTGCCTCAGGGTTTCTACATAATCACAGTTTTTTGTGAAAATAAGCAAACAGCAAATTGTGCGGAAAAAGTCATTTTTCAGTTGATTCTATTTCATAATTTTGATACTGAGTTTCACAGGTAAGCATGCAAAATAATTAGAATGGCAACTTTGTGTGTTATTTGTAACATTTACTATTTACGAGCTCTTCATGAAACAAGTAAAAAAAACAAACAAAATTGGAATGTATCACATTTGGGCCTGATACATATCTGAGAAAAAAATTAAATGTAATAATAGATTCTTATCTCTTCACACGCTGCCCTCTCAATAATGAAGCAAAAGTTTACTCCATAAGTGAATGATTCTAAACAGGCCACCTTAATCTGTATGTGATTGAATAGCATAATGCAAGGAATAGATTTTGAATCCATAAGAGATTTGGCAAGTCAGAGAAAAATATTCTATTTCTTTTCATTTAGAAAGTTCTTAGTGTTTAGGCTTAAGAATACGGTGAGAAGGTGGTGGAGAGATGCCCATTTTATCTGGATAGCCTAGTTTAATTAAGTATTGTTATTTAATCCAGCATGTTTGTGAATTTTTTTAAAAAAATCATCTGAAATTATCACTCTTAAAGAGTTTAAGCATACCTTCAGTATGTTTGTGTTTTTATGATATGTTAATCACATCTGTCACTTCAAATTTTAAAAACATGAATGGAAAACAGCAGTTCATGCTTGACATGGCTTGTGTAAAGGGACTGTTTTTATTTGTTAACATACACCTAAATAACGGAGTTATTTTCAAAATAGCCAATAAGCTGGTTATCTAAACGAACTTTTCTCCCTGCAACAATAATTGGGGCTCTGTAGACATAGTGTTTATGCATAATGTTTATTTTTTTCTTTAATAAAGCCATTAAACTACAGGGTAAAACCAAGAACAACCTATTAATGAAGAAACTGCAAGTAATATGAATTACTGGAAAGCAGAAAAAGCTGCATGTTTTACCTTTTTAATTCTTACGTATAACACAGTACCTCCTGTGGTATGTTTACTAATACTTTAAGAATAAAAGGATCTAGATGTTTTGGAAATAGTGGTGATGGTTGCACAACGTTCTGCATGTAACAAATGCCACTGAATCACACACTTAAAAATGGTTAAAATGTCAAGTTTTGTGTTATATTATACCACATTTTAAAACAAAAAAAATTAAAGAATTTAATATTTATGATTAAGTATACAGTAAAATATTTCTGCAGTATTGAAAGTAAGATAGCATTTTAAATTGTAGTTTAAAAAGTAGTGCCACCTGCATCGTCTTTTTTTCTCCCATTTTTTCCCCAGGTTTTTCTTCCTCCAATTAAATTCATGTTAAACTATAGGACAAGTACTTTTACTAGCTCTTCAGAAAATTAAAATGTACATAAGAGGTCACCATCCCCTTTGCAGTAATGTGACATTTAAAAAAATGCAGATTTCTATATAAAATAATTTCTATGCTTTCAATTCTACTTTCTAAGTTAAAAATCTGTCTGTTGCTTCTTCTGAATCATGTAAATTCGAATTTACTGTGCCTTAAAAGTTTTCTGGAAAATCTATTACTTTCAGAAGTCATATCTAATAGCATAAATCATGGGGGGCAGTGTTTACAACTTTCTGACGAATTTGATCATACATCTGTCTCTTTTGGTAGCATTAAGCTATATCCTTCTCCAGTAGGGGAAAAATAAAAATAAAAACAAAAGCACCACCACCAACAAAGTGATACTTCAATCATTTTGACTTCTAAATGCTTAAAGACATGGAAAAAACATCATAGCCTGATGTTGCTGTGTTTAAATAGCACTTGATTTCTTTGTCAGATTTTTCTATAAAGACTATTAAAATGGTTAAAGAAATGTTTTAAGTAAGACTGTGTTTCAGCAAAATGTGAATCATTGTTACATACATTTTTAAGTCATTAGAAATTTAAATCAAGAAAGTAGTTAGGTCCAAGTTACAGAAAAAAGTAGTTTATGAATTTGCCTGTGATCACGTGACATCTTGACACAAGGACGTTTTTGTCTTGCCACGAGCCTCAGCTTCTCCTCGATGAAGCCAATGAGTGACAGAGGCATGGATGCTGACTGGCACATGGAAGTCCCTGAAATAATTTAGATACTCCCTTCCCCAAATTTCTTCCCATTATAGTTGCTGAAAAGATTAAGTGAAATAATGTATTAAGAGAGATTAGAACATAAAACTAGAAAAATGTTTATCAGATGTCCTGGGACCTAACTTACCGGAAAGAGAATAATACATTGGAAGTGGGAGAAGGGCAGCAAAGACATTACTCAAGTGCTTTGGTCATACATTAAATGATTAAAATGATTCAGACGGTTAGAAGCAAGTCAAAAATTTAGGCAACCTTTATCTAGGTTTTAGATATGCCACTTTAACTTAATAAACCTTAAGTTTTAGATATGTCACTATCCAAAGTGGTCACAATAATACTTTCAGGGTCTGGACTTTTATTTTAGATTTAAATTTTGAGCCTATTTAATTTGCTATACTCACAAATTTCATAGTCTGTTTTCTCAAACCATAATTTCAATACATCGAAGTGAATTAAAATAATTTCAATACATCTAAGTGAATTAAAAATGTCTTCCACATAGAAACATAAATACCATTTTAGAATGGAAGTAAATAAGAATATTGGAGTCTATGTGCAGAATAAAAACAACCAAAACCTACCCTACATATGAATTCCTAAACCATAGCTATTTTATATATAATTTAACATTCTAAAATCATTATTACTTCTATAAAGTTGCCCACTCTTCTTACACTGTATTTTTCCATAATTTTTTTTATAAATTAATCTTTCTAAAGGAGTCTCATGTTAAAAAAAATACATATTAAAGTCAAGCCCTGAAAGCACTAGTTCAGTTCTGAGTTATTAGGCCAAATTCTTCAGTATCATGTCCAACACTGATATTTTCTGGAATCTTGGCTATTATGAAATTCTTATCACAATTGCTTAATATGCTCAATAGGCTTTTTAATTTCCTTTTATTATTTTGACCTAATTTCTTTCTTTTTTTTTTTTTTACAACTCTATATTCTCCTTCTTCATGTCAAACTCCAATTGGAAAAGAGCTCACTCACTTATTTTTACATTTTACTTTTTCCCTTTTAAGATACCCAGTACAAAATAAATAGCCTTCTCTCTAATGTTTTGTCCTTATATGCTCTTGAAAGTATTGCTTGATAGACCAAGTAACTCATTTTAGAAACTCCCATGATCTAATTAAACACTATAACAGTGGGTAAAAGATTTCTGTCCTTGTCGTATAAAGATTAGTTGACTCATATTTTAGAATTGTTCTTTTGAGTGACAGACATACTCTGTAATCCTCACCTAAAAAATAGGAATCCCTTACAGATGTTAAGATCGTATAGTAACAAGTCATTCTAGCACAAAAAGAAATTTATTTAAAAAATATATCTCTGGCTTGGACAACAGAATTAACTGTGCTACTACTCTGTAATTATCACACCTTACTTTTTTTCTCTCATTACCTAATATTTACATGAGGGGTTATTAAATCACGTAAAAGCTTGATGCCATTACCAGATGCTTTAGTGGAACAGGCGACCTTTAATAGAATGCTTTCAGTACCATTTCTAAGAAGTAAAACTATTTCAATGGTAAACAAAAATGTTCTTCAGTAACTTCTAATCCTACCTCCAACAATAGAACTTTTTTTGCCCATAGGTAAATCAATTAGTGTATTTACTAGTGTCTTCATCTACATGACAGGCTGAGTAACAGCACCCTCCTCATGCTCCTCCATAGCCACGTCCTGATCCTGGGAACCCATAAATGATATCGACTTCCAAGATATGATCGAGTTAAAGATCTTGAGAGGGAGAGATTATCCAGGGTAGACCTTAAATGAAATCACAAGTGTCCTTAGAAGAGGTAGGCAGAGGAAGAACAGACTTTAGTAGACAAAGGGATGTGACCACAGAAACAGACATTGGAGTGACCAAGCCAGGAGCCGGGAGCTGGAAGCCAGAAACGTCAGCAGCCTCTAAAAGTGGAAGAAGTTAAAATGGGATTCTCCCCTGGAGCCTTTGAAAAGGAACAGGTCCTACACACACACTTTGATTTTAGCACCTTTAGACTCATTTTGGATTTCTGATCTTCAGGACTATAAAAGGACACATTTGTGTAGCTTCAGACCATTAACTTTGTTATAGCAGCTACAAGAAAGTTAAAACAATCTGTAAAAAGGAGGTTCAAATAAATGACCTCTAAAATCCTTCTAGGATTTGAGAGAACTGATCTGCACTGTTAGCTTTGTGGATTTTTATTTTTCAGCATTTTTCATAGGCATAACTTACAGAAAGTCATTTTTAATTAGTTATTCAGGATATAATATTCTTTGATTCTTTGTTGGAATCAGTCTCCTGGGCAATAGCTTGTCATCATCAACACATGGCAAACACTAGGGGAGATATTTCTTTTAGTTTATTTTACCAAGTTGAAGGAAAATGTTATATTTTTAATTAATTTTCTATGTTTGAGTAGCCAATTCAATTAGAAATTCAAAACACGAGAATCTTGCAGAAATCAGCTGCCAGATTTATTAATCTATCTGAAAATAAAAACAAGCAAACAAAAAGTAGAATAAAAACAGAACTTAAAAAAAAAAAAGAAAACTTTGGAATACATTTCCCAAAAGAGTTTATAATGCAATGTTTTGAACCCTTCTGTATTGGAAATATCCTTAATGTTGGCCAATTACTCATTTTGTTTTGTGAGTCACTACCTGAAGCAGAAAAATAGTTTGTCCTTAAATATTATATAATTAATACCAGTTCTTCCTTGATCCCTTAAGATAACTCATAGTCCAATTCTTCCCCAATGGGAAATTAGAACTAGAACTTTAAAAAGAAAAAAAAAAAAGGAAAAAAAGAAAAAGGGGAAAAAAAGAAAAAGAATCCTCAATACAATTTCATTTAGATGGTATTTTAAAGACCCACTTTTAATTACTCCTTCAATTTCTCCAAATATGTTAATTCTCTTTCCAATAAATCTTTAGCTTAATATTTTAAAATTTGTTTTTATTCTAAGTGCTGTAAATGGCCATATGAGCATAGTGGGGGGGGAGTTCTCATTTTTAAGGCATACTTATTAGCCCATAGTGGGCCAAATGATATATAAGGTATATGCAGAACAATCATTGAAATCACAGGTTACTACATATGTTGAAATTAAAATAGGCCCTTTTGTAGGATTAAATGTGAGTAGTATTGATTACGGTATGTGGGCTTCCCAATAACCGTTCAGTTTAGATACAGGAGCTGTGATCCGTGCCATGCTGGAAAACGGGGTAGCCAGGAAATCATCTTTCGACAATCTTTCCTGTGCTCGTCAAGAAATGCTTTTATAGGTTCATTTTGGCTTTGTGTTTAGGATTTTTTTTTTTCTTAACATTTCACTGTAGGCGCTTAAAAAATGTTGTTCCTCTGGGATATTGATGGATTGGACAAAATTCAGGCTTCTTGTTTGAACGGTTTAGCAAGCTATTCAAAGATATTATAACACCATTTACTTTTTTTTTTTTTGTCCAAGGTGAATGAAACAACATATCCTGCTTTCAGTTATTTTCTCCAAATGCCAAACACAAACAGAACAAAAACCTTTGAAACTTTAAATCTTTAAGTTCGTCTTTCAAACAATCCAATCACATTTACACAAGTGTCCAAGTGTCCAAAACAAGGTATCAGCGCCAGCAGTATGTCGTACAGCAACTTCCTCAGCTTCTTTGACAGTTTGTAAATTTTCTGTTTCACCAAAAGTTACAAAAGTTTCCACAGTTTCCCTTAGCAAGCTGGAGCTTACTCTTCATTTGTCAATGTGCATAAAAGCTGCTCAGAGCATAGCATGGCATAAGCTATTTTTTAAGCAATAAATGGTTGGAGTCATCTATTTTGTCCTGAAATGCTATCTGTAGTTCACTGCATTGCTTATAAATGGTCATAGTAAATTCAGCATGAAAGAGAATATTACAGAAAAGACAGCAGCAGAAGCATTAGCATTATCTAATATTTATATATGTTATCAACATAACACAGCAGTAAAAGGTTTAAATGCATATCAACGGGCACCATGTCTAAAAATTACTATAGTACCTATTTAGTGTATTGGATATTTTTCTTAAGGAGTGCTTGCTGTATCTAGAACAGCATAATATGTGATTTAGTACAGTTAATTCTTATCGATTAAATAATGTTTCTTTATGTACTCAAGGAAGTGAGATAGATTTTCTTTTTTTTTTTTTGCTTCATTGTGATCTCAGATTTAACATTTAAATGAAGATCTCAAAGGACCATGACAGATCATTATTTAACTGAAATGGGCTTCAAAATATTTAAATGACAGTATGATTTGCGTCTCAACAGCAAGGTGGCACCAGGTACACGGAATGCTACTGGCCTGTGACTCGCTTTGGAGCCAGAGTCCAAAACTGTGCCCCTCATGTACAGTCATGGTGATCACTCAACTTCAGAGAGAATTACCCATTTTACGGTTATCCTCTGTGAGTCAGATAGGAAGCAAAACAAAACAAAAAACAGCAAATGCGATCTCTAAATACCTTTTTACAACAGGTACAAAACCAGTCATTTCTAACAGGTAAACTGCCATTTACAGTAGGTTTTTTTTGTGTGTTTTTTTGTTTTTTTTTTTAAGTTTTTTTTGTTTTTGTTTGTTTTTTGTACACCTTGCAGAGACTCAGAAATGAGAGGGGAAAATGCCCAAGGCAAATAGTCTCCAAGTGGGTATTTACACAATGTGAATTAACTGTACCATAGATACCCAGAGAAAATGAACACTTTCTTATGTTGTTATGAAATCAAATAAACATGATATAGCTTCATCATACTTAAAACCTGTAGGACCCCATCCCAAGCCTAAGTAAAAAGTAATCCCCATATTCCCCCACCCATTCACCCATTATCTTCCTGTTACACAGAATAAATGTTTAGATTACACCTACCCACCCTCAAATAAAGTGCGCAGTCCATGGCAGACCATAGAATAATGCAACAGGAAAGCCCCTTTTTGTGTATTATTATTTAAAAATAAAATACAAACAACAAAAATCAAACGAAGATTGAAGAGAACTCAGAGAGTCTCTGCATCCTGCAAAAAGAGGAGAAGCGCGAGGAGGCCCTGCGTGACTGTCACTTGTGTTAATACACGTAGCCTTCATTGTAGGGGTGGGGGTTGCAGCAGCCCCCTTCGGGCATGTAGGCCATGCTCTCGTCAAAGTGAGACAGAGGCACCGTGTCTTCTTCATTGATGTGACGTTCCATGTCCGTCTTCAGCAGTGGGCGCTGATTATCTGGGAAGGCCATGGAGAACAGGGCTTCCGGATCACAGACAAATTTGTAGACATATCTCTCTCCGGCCACCTGATGAAAATACGGAAGAGAAAAACCCATCCTTACGTATGGTGACAGATGTTAACTAAGCTTACCAGAGTGATCATGTCACGATATATACAGACAGTGAATGACTAGGTTGTGCACCTGAAACTGACATAAGGTTATATGTCAATTAACCTCAACAGAACCACAATCTTCACAATCCCCAAATGGGGAAGAGCAGGGAAAGAAAAGAACAAAAACATGGTTTAATATGTCAGAAAGGAAGCATAACAAAAGGAAAGCAGCCAAATGTTAAAAGATATCCATGAAAGCAAAAAAAAAAGTCCTTCCTTTGTGCAATGAACTTCAGTCCAAGAGAGGGAAATGCGGCCTTGAGTAATGATTGACCTTGAGTAATTACATTCATTCCAGGCACAGCTAGAAAGCTTAGCAGTTTGCTTGTTTTAATATAAAGGTAAACTTACATTGTTATTTCAGGGGGGAAAAAATCAATGATTTCATGCAGGTATCTCACAGTGAAATTTTGTGTCCTTTGCTTTAAATGGTTATATCTTTATTTATAAAATAACTGGACCTTTAAGGTGTAGTGTCTCCCTCTTAATATTACATTTCTGAAATTGTAGAAAACCTAAACTTCCAAACCTTAAAAGAAAAATGTGCTGTGTTCTTAATAAGACAAGACTAGTGACTCACTGATTCACAGGGTGAACTGGTTCTTTTCTTTCTCTCTCTGTTTTTTTTTTTTTTTTGGCACTGTGTATGCTCACCAAAAAAAAAAAAAAAAAAACCAAAAGATGCATAGCCTTATTTAAATGAAAGATGGATCAAGAGGACAGCATTACCTTGGGTACAACACTTTTAAAAATGAAGGCAAGATGCATTAGACAGAAGTTAAGGATGTGTGTAAAGCGTCAAACTGAAGTAAGAGGTGTAAAAAAGTGAAGGGAATTTAAAATATACAATGCATAGGGAGGAAATGAGAAAAAGAAATGTGAGAGCTGCCTGAAATAAAGGAGAAATACCATAATTTGTAGGGAATGACATGTCCCAAACTTAAATTTTGAAGACTAATGTTTCTCTAGGAAGTTATAAACAATTGAGTGAAACAAATATGCAACCCCCCCTCCATTAACAGACAAAACTGAGGTTCTCAAAAAAACAGGAGTGGGTTGGGGGTGGAGGGTGGGAGGGGTGTGTGTATGAATACAATTCTTTGTACTGACATTGAGGTAAACCTCCATGTGTATGCAGAGATTAGTAATTTTAGAAAAGCGAAAATTATTCAATGCCTCTGGGTTCCTATGTATCGAAAAAAGGCACTGCTGGTTGCTTTGCCATGGAGAATGTTAAGTTCATGGTTTGTAAACTATCTGTATATGTTTGGAAAATAACAATCAACTATCAAAGAGTGCTACTCTTCTGGACCCAAGATTTACAACACTGTTTTGTCCTGGATGTTTTAGCTTATAAGAGGAACCAATTTAGAGAATCCAAATAATCTGAATATTCTTAGGTTTGAATACAGTGAACACTTAGCTTTTATGAATTTGTACATGTTTCTTTTTTTTTTTTAAGATTTTATTTATTTGACAGAGGGAGACACAGCGAGAGAGGGAACACAAGCAGGGGGGAGTGGGAGAGGGAGAAGCAGGCTTCCTGCTGAGCAGGGAGCCCGATGCGGGGCTCGATTCCAGGACCTTGGGACTATGACCTGAGCCGAAGGCAGACGCTTAACGACTGAGCCACCCAGGCGCCCCTTGTACATGTTTCTTAATCGGTCCTCAGTTCCCCTTTTTTTGTGAAACAGAGCTTCTTTGGAAAGCCTCTTGTAAAACTGAGATGGAAGTCTCTAGGACATTGCACGGCAAACAGAGCAGTTGGTGTAAATTCATTTACTTTAGTCCTTTATAAAAAGGAAACTAAATTCATAAAGGTGAAATTGCCATAAAAATAAAAACAGGCAATATCAGAAACAAAGCTAAGATATGAAATCCTAGTTTTCCCTTTATTTCTTTATTCAAAGCTTTTTGAGAAAAAAAAAAAAAATGGCCTGCAGACCTTAGAGCTTTTAATAACCTGCTTTGTTTTGTTTGGAGCCACAGAAAAAGAGGTATTTGCTTCAGGCTACTGGTAGCTTTTTTATCCAACCTGTTGCTATTGGTTATAATTGGAAATGATTTGATAAATCACTGTGGGGAATTAAAATGTACAGCATGCAATCAAGATTATAAAATCTCTTAAGGAATCTGCCTTAACTCATGGCTTCCTATGATTTTTCATACGAAAAAAACATTTTTGGAACTACTACTATATTTATGGAACTATGTTAAATGTCACGGAGTTTAGAACAAGTGCTGATAATTACCAAGGGAAATAATGTCTTTCATTATTAGTAATACAATTACAATCTAGAAAATGCTGTGCATTAAATATACCCAAATCACAGTGCTGAGATAGATAAAACATGAATTTTTTTTTTAGGGGAGATAAATTGGAAGTTAACAAGGAAGTATCTTTTGAACTGTGCTTTGAAAGACTAGATATTTAAATTATGTGTTAACCTTTTATTTATTTCTTTTTAATGTGTTAACCTTTTAAATCTCAGAAGTAACATAAAAAAACTGGCAGAAAATTAAAAAATTATAGATTAAACCAAAAGAAATAGTGATCTATCATGATATCATCCACAAATAACTGCTGTTAAAATATGTGCACAGATTTCTCTAGGCATTTCTAAGTTTTGAAATAGAAGGTCACACCTGTACAATCTAAAAGCCAGACTCCATCATTTCTTATCTCTTTCAGAACTACTGAAATAAGCAGGGTTTTTCTACATGTTTGATCCATTTGATTATTTTGATTTCAATTTCTAATCTTTCCAGGTAATTGTCCTGAATATACACCACACACATATATAATTTAAGTTTAGAAACAAGTGTGGTCATACAAACATTTTCCCCTACACACTGAAAGATAAAATTCCACATCATAGGGGTTTTTTGTTTGTTTGTTTGTTTGTTTAAGGACAGCGTAATTACCCTCTGAATGACTCTGTTAGGATTGCTTAACCATTAGAATGGTACAGATGTTGGGTACAATCAGAAGGCAAGACACTCTATACAGAGGGCAGGACATCAGTGAGGCAAAGGGGGAGTCACAGGTGCGTCAAATGGTAGCAAGGAAAATGGCTCAAGGCATGTGAGGAAGAAGAGTAAACATGTCTGTAAAAATAGTAGAAAGCCTTCATTTTTGGGCTCGTTACAAGTAGACTTCAGTTTTGTATGTTTCACCATTAAACAACCTATGTTTTCTTATATTATGCAGCAGCACGCCAAAAGTTCTGTTGCATACAGACATTTTGCTAGTCTGTCTTAGCTGATAAAGAAATAGTTGCAAATAGTTTCTTTTACCTTATTTCATTTAATAATGACAACAACTTGATGAAGTAAGAGCACCACCATTTAGCAGGAGAGGAATCTGTTCAAAACGGTGATCCACAGAGAAGGCAGTGTGCAAACCTAAATCCTGCGTGCATTTTCTTTGACATCTGCACACCACTGCCCAGGGGACCTGAGCACCTACAGTGCCAGCCCACTGCACAGCCAGCCCACTCCATGGGTCAGGAATTAGCTAGACAGTGAGGGAAATGAAAGGAATGGAATGCGTCTGAAAGGATTTGGCTGCAAATGGTAAAGGTGGGCTGGGAGGAAGGGAGGAATTAAAAAAGGACCCCAGGGTTGAGGTGGAGAAGACAGGGGAGCAGGTAGGTAACGGTTGTATGTCTTGAAGGTGAGATTCAGGGAAATAAGAAGTGAGTAATGAATTCAGCCTTATCTTTCAAGCATCTTGGGCACTGTAACTTCTGAGAGCTGGCAAACTCCAGAGCACCGATTCCCTTTGGTCTAAAAACTCAATGAAGCTGTTTCCTCTATTCTAGCATGTTTCATGTAGCAAATGGTCTGGTTTTTCTTGGCGTAACTACAGTGGTATAAAAATATGCCACAATCTGCAATATATAACTAAGTTTGTGTCCCCCACATGAACAAAGGATGCAAAATAAAACAGTAATGTTCACAAGAGATAAATCATAAACTTAGTTCACAGCCTAGACAATAGGCATGAATACACATGCAAGGCTGAAGGATGTAACAATAACAAATATCCGACGTTTTACCTTAATTCATTTATTCATTACCTTCTTCAAAAATTGTATATTTTGTTCTATGTGGATTCCATTTGTTTTATCATAAGTTTTTAAAAGCCATCTTCAAATATTTAGAGAAGCTCATTGGAAATAAAGTAAAATACATTTACCTTAACTTCATTCACCAATGAAATAACATCAAACACTTATTTTTAATAAATGGTTTAGGTAACTAAGCTGTCAAACAGCAAAACCAGGCAAGACTTCAGACAAGAAGGGGAAAAGTAAGAATTCAGTTAGTATTGGAATCCATAAACAAAAGCATTTCAAAATTATGTAACTGTGGAGAATGGAGCAGACTATCGACAACTTCTGGGACTATATGGGACTATTAATACTGAAACAACATTTTTTACCAAATACGGTAAAGTTGGGACTTCCAGAAAGTCTACTAGTTTCTATAAGATATTATTACATAGGTCTATAATGCCAATGGATTTATAAATAGAAAGGCTTGTCATACACCCAAAACCAAGAGCTAAGCATATGTTAAAATGAGTGAAAACCTTGCTTCAGCAATGCAATGACATGTGGCTTTTAAAGTATGACATGCAGATTAATGTGCAACATTTCAATGAATTTTAATGCTGCTGTATCTGCTCACCTTTTGCATGATTCCTTTCTCATAATAATAGCGAAGCGAACGGCTAAGTTTATCATAGTTCATAGCTGGCCTGTTTTTCTGAATGCCCCAACGCCGGGCCACCTGCCACCAAAACAGAATCACATTGTACTGTTAAGTATTACCTTATCAAGATATTTCATAAAACATTAGTGAATTAATCAGTTACTTCCAAATCTTCCAAAACACATCCAAATTAAAGACATAAGTAAAGAGGCAAAAGCTATCATGATCTGAATTTTCCTGTGTCCTGGTTTGCTTTTAAACCAGGCGTGCAGTGATCATTCTGCAACTTCACAATACAATTCTTTGTCACTATTGTTTCGGATACAAAATCAAATGGAAATAAGGGGATGTGTTTACAGTGGGAATGAACAGGCTGCAATTCACCAAAATGAGGCAAGTTTCCCATTCTGAGATATACTGCCTGTTTTTTCCTTCTTAGTTTTTCTGATAAAACCTAGAGACCAAGAACAGCTCAGGGATCTCTTTGTAAAAGTGTTTTCTAAGGTTATGATAAACTAAAGAAAAAAAAAATATGCTGTTTGCTACCGAAGAAAAGAATGAACAAGTGGCACTGTATGTGTAACAGAGGAAATAGTATACAAATTCATAATCTGAACTGCAAATAATTTTTATTGCCCGAAGCAGCATCAGAATAAAACTGTAAACAATACTAAAGTGGAGAATTAAGCATTCATTTAGAGAACAGTAATTGGATACTAAAAATAAGAAGGAAGTGGAAAAGGTCACCACGTACATGAATCCACAAACAAAAATCTCTAAAGCAGAATGTCCACTTTGTTGTTCAGTGAAAAACCTCAGAGCTTCTGAGGAGGTGGCTTTGGAGGAGCAACTTCTCTGGCAAAGCAGAATTTTCCAAGGAACCCTCCTTCCTCAATGTATATATACATACCCCCCACACCTCACCGCCACCCTGGGCTGGCTGAAGCATTACACTGAACCCTGCAGCCTGCTTCTGCTACCCCAGCTAAAGTCAGGTTCTCATTAATTTCCGTATTTTATTCGTCTGAGCAGAAACTGCAGCTGTCGTGCATACCTAGGCAACCCCAAGAGAACATTATCTAATAGGGTTAGTGTTTTCCTTCATTTCTATGAAATTCCAAGTTGTTGCTATGTCACATATCCTAAAATAGACTGCTTTTCAGAGAGATCGTTCTGTCTCTCTCCACTTTATTAGCAATTACCTTTCCCCAGGGTTTTTTTCTTTCAAAAATACTGATCCTTGCTATTTTCTCTCTCCCTAATTTGTATTTCCTGAATGAAGATACAATGTAATTTCGCCACATGCATCAGGATACTTCTTTAAGAGCAGAGAGATGTGATGTAACGGGAACATGACTACGTATCCAAGCAGTCACCATGGCAGGCACACCCGAATTTTCCAGAGATAAACTTCATTTTAATCTAAGTGTTCGAAGCAATAGTGCAATGGGAGGGTGGCAGTAAGAAATGAAAGCCATACTATCTAAATAAAATGTCTTTTAAAAACCTAACAATGATTCATTGTTTGCGTATAACACCCAGTGCTCCATGCAGAACGTGCCCTCTTTAATACCCATCACCAGGCTAACCCATCCCCCACCCCCTCCCCTCTAGAACCCTCAGTTTGTTTTTCAGAGTCCATAGTCTCTCATGGTTCGTCTCCCCCTCCGATTCCCCCTTCATTTTCTCCTTCTTACTATCTTCTTCTTCTTCTTTTTTTTTTTTTAAGATATAATGTTTTATTTGTTTCAGAGGTACAGGTCTGTGGAACCCTACATCAAAAACTAATGATATAATGTATGGTGACTAACATAACATAATAATAATAAAAAAAAACCCTAACAATGGACATCAGCAAATCTTTAACAGATTTGGCAACTGAAGAGCGTGCTAACCTCGAAGGGCCATGAAAATAAACTCTTAATATTTCCTTAAATTAAACACCAGTTTCTGAATACCTTTTCATTTATAAATGATTCTCCTCTAGAAATTCACCAGGATGCACCCAGAAAGTAAAATACTTGCAACCAACTTTAAGACAACCCTGTGGAGGGTGCCTGGGTGGCCTAGTTGGTTAAGAATCTGCCTTTGGCTCAGGTCATTATCCCAGGGTCCTGGGATCGAGCCCCAAATCAGGCTCCCC